AGCTAAATTCAGCTATGTAGCACACAGCTTTCCTCATATACTTATTTTGCATGATAGAAACACCTAACTCTTACTTTCTTAGTACCCTTTAGGTATATAACTATACTCATCACTGATCTACAATGTATCTTTTGAATTTATTTCTGTTGCCATTTTGAGACAGGGTCTTAGTGTGTAGTGCAGGCTGGTTTTGAGTTGACTATGTAGAGCAGGGTGGCCTTAGCCTCACAGTGATCCTCTTGCCTCAGCCACTTGAGTCCTAGGATTACAAGCATGAGCCACTATGCCCAACTTGAATTTATTTCTATCTAATCAAAACTGTGTGTCCTTTGCCCAGCATGCCCTAATCTTCTCGTCTTTCAGTCTTTGGTAACCACCAGACTTATGAAGATTCTACATATAAGGGAGACTGTGATATATTTCTGTGCCTGGCTTATTTTACTTAATATAGTGTCCTCCAATTTCATTTGCATTGTTGGAAATGACATGATTTCCTTCTTTTAAGGCTGAATAGTATTTACATATATAAGTACTATTTTCTTTATCTATTCATCAACTGACAGTAGCTAGGTTGATTCCATTATCTTAGCTACTGTAAATAATGCTACAATGATCCTAGGAATACAAATCATCTTTCACATACTGACCTCATATCCCTCATATATATAAGAGTGGGACTGCTGTATCCCATAGTAATTCTGTTTTTGAGAAATCTCCATACTATTTTCCACAATGGGTGTACCAATTTATATTCCCACAAATATTATGCATTCTCTTTCCTTTCTATGTTTGTCAGCACTTTTTATATTCTGTCTTTTTGATAACAGCCTTCTGACAGGCATGAGGCGATGTCTCATTGTAGTTTTAAATTTGCTTTTTTCTGTTGATCAGCGAGTGACACTGAGTATTTAAAAATATACCTTTAGCCATTTGAATGTGTTCTTTTGGGAAGTAACTACTGAAATCCTCTGACCATTTTTAAATTAAGTAACTGGTCTAATTACTTATATTTATATGAATTTACTTATTACTTATATTTATATGAACTCCTATATTCTTTGTGGATTTTGAAATCAGGTAGTGTGATTTCTATAACTTGAGTATTCAGGGTAAGCACAGGAGGGTTTCACCACTGAGCTAAATCATTTTGTATGAAATGGACATGAGCCTTTTGGGTGCCAGGGACAGGATATTATGTTTAATCTGAAATGTTCCCCAAAAGTCTCAGAAGTGGGGCTTTGGAAGATGTCTGAAGGTACTATATTCATCAGCGGATTAATCCATTCTTACCCCTGGTTGTTTCCTTCTCTATATACTGAGTGCTATGGGTTGAGCAACTTTCCTACTCCAGGCCCTTCCACTAAGCTGTTTCTGCCTTGGGGCCGGCCAGCTGTGGACTGAACCCTCCGTAAAGCTGAGCCAGTCAAATTTCTCTACCATTAAATCATGTGTCAGGTATTTTTTCCCAGTGACAGAACACAGAAACTGGTACCAGGGAAATGGGGTTATTGTTGTCACTACACTTGACAATGTGCTTCATAAGCCTTTGGGACTGATTTGTGGGACAAGTCTGAAAGGTCTGGAAATGTAGGCCAGAGAAATCCTAGAATGTTGTAAGCAGAGCTTAATGGGTAATTCTGGATAGAGGTTAAACCAGAGACTGTGGATGTAACTGCCAATCTCAGGAGGTTTCAGATAGAGAATAAGAACTTTACTATGAAATGGTCTAGTGTCCATTCATGTATAACCTTGCAAAGAAATTGTCTGCATGTAGCCTGTGTCCTGAGACTTTGCAGGGGACTAAATTTAAGTTGGTATACTAATTAATCTGGCAGAAGAAATTCCAAGGCAGTCCAATGTTCAGGTGGTGGCACAGGTACTGCTAGCTACCGATAGTCAAGAGTCCCAATGTGAATATGGAACAAAAGCAGATCCCAACTTCCAGAAAATTTTGTAGCTTGACCAAAAATAAAGTACCTATAAAGCTGGGACCAAGAAGAGTTTGTCTGCTTAAAAAAAACAGTGCCATTAAAAAGAAATCAAATAGCCATCCCTGGTGGCACACACTTGAAATCCTACTACTGGACGGCTGAGGTAGGAGTACTGCAAGTTCAGTCCAGTCAGGGCAACTTAGATGACCTTATCTCAAAAACAAAGAATAAAAAAAGGGTCAGACCTGTAGCTCAGTGTGAAGGGCCTAGGTTCACCTCCCAGTGATAGGGTAAAAAAAAAAAAAAAAGGAACAAAGAAATAGAAACAAAGTTAAATACTCTGGATCAAAAAAACAGGGTAGATGGCTTGAAAACCCCAGTGTATAGTGCTCACTCAGTGCCATCTGGGCAAATATATGCCCAAGTTCAGCCATCCAGGCACTTGGAGGCCATGACAACCATGGTTCAAGACACCAAGCTACTGTGTGAACTGGTGACAGACCTTTGTGTCATCCACACAGTACTGGTTTAACAGGCATGCAGATTGTAGAGCTGCAGGGTTTATCAAGAAGGCTTCTACTCAGGTATCAGAGTAATGCCTGGGTGACCAGGCAGCGTGGTACAATACGACCACTGTCCCTATCAGGAGCCCAGCATATTGATGTGTGAGGCTGAAGATGTAGTGGAGAACCCAGGAGTTGTAGAAGTCAGGAATATGGAATGTCTGTCGAGGAAAGCTGTACATAGTGAGCAAAGCCAGTCTGACAGAGGCTATGGGCTCAATCAGCAAAGGTGTGATAATTTGCTCCCAAATCTACTTTGCTGAGGTTTTTCTTGTTTTTTACTTTTGTTGTTTGTTTGGTACCAGGGATCAAACTAATGACCACACACTTGCCAGGCACTGAGCTAAATCCCAGACCCTTGTTCAGAGGTTTTTATCATGAAAGTAAGTTGAATTTTGTCAAATGCCTCCTCTAATCTATTGAGATGATAAGATTTTGTCCTTTATTCTGCTAATATGGGTATATTACATTAATTGATTTGTGTATATTGAATCATCCCTTCATATAAGAGTTAAATACCACTTGATCATGATGAATAATTCCTTTAATAGGCTGTTAAATTTTGTTTGCTAGTATTCTGTTAAGTTTTTATTGTGTTTATTGGGAAACTGGCCTGCAATTTGTTTTGTTACAGTGTTCTTGGCTGGCTTTAAAGTGTTATGGTAATGCCAACCTTGTAAAACAAGTATGGAAGCATTTCTGACTTGCTATCAGGTTCTGGGATTTCCTTTGATGGGAGACTTCTTATTACTAATTCTATCTCTTTAATCATTAGTGGTCTGTTTAGATCTTCTGTTTCTTTATGATTCAGTCTAATCAATTCTCAATCAAGATTTGTAGTCATTATTTCAAATAAACAACATTAATACTTTCAACATGATTGTAGTTCAGTGAAACTTCAAAGACGTTTATGACATGAGAGATTTTAAATTTTTGATGATAAAGGAGCCTGAATTTTATATATACACATTAACTTTGTAATGTTTAAGTTATCTATGCATTTGCAGAAATGTTCTAAAGCAAATTTTTTGAAATGTAAAGTAATATAAGGTTATTGGTGAATTTTCTTATTTCTTTTTGTACATTCTACAAAAACTTCTAGAAAGAAACTCCCTCATATATGTTAAAACAACAAGTATACCACATTAAGACAAACATTATGGTCTCTAATTGCATAACTATAATATAATGATAATAACAATAGCAAACACTTGTGTGTTTACTAGGTGGTAGATACTATTTCAGGGGCTTCATAACTACCAATAAATTTAATTCTCAAAACTTTAGAAGGCACTTAGTATTTTGTCCCTACTTAAATAAGGGAACTCTTAACTATAATTCTAATTACTTTCGTTGTAACTCAATTCACAAAGAATAAAGTTACATAACTATTTTATATAACATAGCTCAAAAGGTTGACTGACAGTAAGTTATGTAGTCAGTAAGAGGGGCGTAAGAATTTGGAATACATTTTCAAGTGTGAAATCAGGAATAAACAGATAAGCACCAAAATATAAACATCTACTTTAGCACACTGTCCTCAGGGTTTGGTACATTGTTTTACACTTGGCAGTTGTTTAGTACATATTTACTGATGGAATGCAAGTAGACTAATACTGGATAACTGAGCGATTATGGAAGCAGTCTATTATGAACACATGTGACCTAAGTAAATTCAAAAGGTACATTAGCATATACATCCAAATCAGTAACTCAAACAATTTTGTTACATGTAATTAGGTCCAGTTTTAAGACAGAGGACAAATCAATATGGAGCCAAGGGGAGAAAGAAAAGAGTCAATAGCTAAAAATTTATCTACAATGTGAACTGTCTGGAAGGTAACTGTGATTACATATATTATGAAATAAGTCATTAGATTCTTACCTTCCTTTGCTCTGACTTGCTATTTGCATAAGAATCTTCCCATTGTGTTCTAATTTTCTGTATTTAAAGACAGGCTGATCAACTAAAACAACTTTTGTTTATTACATGGCTATATAACTTTTCCTTTCCTCTTTTTTCCTCCCTTTTCTTTTCATTTATTTATGTATTTATTTATTTATTTATTTGAGACAGGGTCTCACTATATAGTTTAGGCTGGCGTTATGTACTAGACTAGCCCTGAAGTCACAGCAATCTTCCTGCCCTAGCCTCCTGAGTACTGGGATTATAGGTAGGCACCACTACATTCAGCCATTGATAGCTATATTTCTTAAAAGAAACAAACTGGTACCCCAGCAACTTGTGATACAAACAAATAGCGCTTAAACCAATTAAATTTGTTATCGTGTTATAAAACTGAGTTATAAGACATGCAAAGCTAAAGAACAGACCTCAAAACAAAGAAACAATATACTGCTGGGTAAGATCATTCTTTAGGCAGATACCTGGCCTCCTTAAGTATCTCCAGCTGTGGCAAACAGAGAACTGATATAATATCAAGAAATGTAAACACAATTACAACTTCACTTATTCATTCATCTATTTAAATAAAATAAGGAGTACCTTCAGAAAGTTCACTAGTTCTTGATATCTGTTCCAGTTCCCAGCCAAGATGTAATGATTCATCCATACTTTGTTTCTGTGCCATTTCCAAAGTCATATTTTCTTCCATTAACTCTTCAATCTTTTTTCTATCCATATCTCGTTCCTTTTTTATTGCAGGGAGAAGGGTGAGAATAGAAAACCAAGAAATAATAAATTTCAAGCCACCATTTTATTACTCCAAATTTATTAGAAACTGAATGAGGATAAAGGATGAGTGTCTTAAAATTTTCACAGTTTAAAGGAAATAATCAGTTTTTATTATTGCCATTTTTATTGCCAGTTTTATTGCCATTTTCAGGTGTCTCACATCCTTTTGAAGTCATCTTGTGAGACAATGTGAAAATGCTTCATCACTGTCAGGACATTAACTATGAATTCTACAATGAATTTCTGATTGCATTTTAAATTTTAGGCAGAATTTACTGTATTTTAAAAGACATTCTTACAAAATAGCTTACTGAGGTCTTGAGAGGTAGGCAACAAAATTAACAATATCCATCTGTAACAAAAGCAGAAATTTCTACTTCTTATATAGTAGAGTTGTATTTATATAAAGTCGTAAGCATATAACTCATATAGCTATCTCTTCTCTGTTAAAGGTTCTCATTACAGAGAAGTCAGCCAAATCTTAGAATTTTTCCCCAACAGAAAATGTAATTTATTCCATAAAACTTACCATTTCCATATCATGCAGTTTAGCCTTTAGCTGTAAATTCTCTTTTTCCAACTCATGTAATTTATCAGAACGAGCGCGAGTTCCTTCAAGTTGGTCTTCCAACATGGTTTTTGTTTCTAATAAAACTTGATTGTCTTCTTTTAATTCCTACAATCATTTCAAATAAGCTTTATCACAAATGTGCAAGAATCTCTTAAGTTTTTAAAGATCTAGAACATAAAAATTATTGTAAACTAAAAGATCAAGCCATCTTTATCAACAGTTCTACCTAGAGTAAAGGCTTCATTTTCTACTAGATTTTAAGGTATTATACAATAAAATATTCAGTTCTTACAGTTGAATGAATAGTAGTAGTATAATTTCACAGGAAATCATGGAACATATTTAAATCCTTAGTCACAAGAATAAGAGCCGAAGTATAAGAAGTCTTCCAAATATTTAAGACGCATCTCTACAGAATCAGAGCTTACCTTACTGATGGAAGTTGACTTAAACTTTATTTCTCTCAAAGAATTATAGCTTGAAAATGAAAGGTTTTAGGTTTTTGCAGTAAGAACCAAGACTTAAACTAAGACTCAAATCAAGGCTCCATCACCAAATATGTTGTATGAATACACTGAGGAAGTATTTAAACAGACCTTACACATGATCTGAAAGTGACTATTTGCAATTTCCTCTTGCTAAATTGTATATGCCTAACAAAGTCTAGAGCAAATACAAAACAGTGGAATCTTCGATGATCCCTTAACAGTGCCACCTGTACATACAACTGAGTAAGTGGCACAGAATGACCTTTATCTTGCTGTCCAATTGGGTGTCTACAAATTTTCAGGCTAAAATGTTCTATTTTATCATGTTTTCTTTTTTAAATTTTGTACTCTCTTCTTATTCTCATTCTGAAACTGACCAAAATCTCCTGTTTACAGAAAATAAGTTATCTGAGAAAGGAAAAAAAGGATAGAAGGATTATGAAGTTCTTTCTGTCAAATGAACTTCACATAACATTAATTGCAAATATCAAGGAAAAGAAGTTATTTTACCTTTATTTGCATATACAAAGCCTTTGCTGATTCTGCTTGAGCAATCTCAAATAAAAGCCATCAGAAACATTTTCCTTTCACTCTTGGGAACAAGTTTGACATTAGAAGAGACAAGTATTTTATTTGAGTTTATAGGAAGGACTTCAAAAGTCTGCTAGTTAAAGTTAGCAAGAGCCCCAAAGAGTTAAAATAAAATTAATAAAAGCTAAAAAATTCCTTTGTAACGTCCAATAGTTTGTTCAACATTACTAAGTGCATTTCAAATGTATTTTGAAAATCATGGTCAAGAAAAAATATTGTGAGGGGTTCATTATGCAACATACCTCAACTCTTGCTTTATAAAATTCAATATCATGCAGTCTTTCTTTATATCTGCTGACTTCACTTTCAAGTTTATCAACTCTGATGGCCTTCTCTCGAAGTGCATCTAATTCATCTCGGTACATTCTAGCAGAACGAGCATCCGAAAGCAAATTCATGTTCTAAATACAAATAAATAATAATGCTTTTAATATTACTATTTTTAATTCTTTATACCTTGGTTATACAACTTAATACATTTAATTAAAAGTGAGTTATATATAGAAAAAGAAATTTTATGGGATATAAACTATACTTCAAGTTGTCTTTAAAAATAGGAATACATATCAACAGCTAATATCAAACTAAATAGACAAAAACTGAAAGCTTTCACTCTAACATCTGAGCAACATCCACACTCCTATTTAATACAGTTCTAGAAACATTAGCCACAACAATTAGACAAGAAAAAAGAAAAGAATAAAGACAGGAAAGAAAGAAGTTAAATTACTGTTATTTGCAGATGACACAATACTCTATATAAAAGATCCAAAAACTCCACCAAAAGACTTGCAGATTTAATAACCAAATTCAGTAGTACAGCTGAAAAATTAATAGCATTCCTGTACACAAACAACAAACTCACTGAGAAAATTATGGAAATATTGCCTTTCCAATAACATCCAAAAAATTTAAATAATTAGGAATCAATTTAACAAAGGAAGTAAAAGATCTATACACTGAGAACTATAGTACTCTGAAAAAAAGGATATTGAAGAAGGAATCAGAAAACGAAAAGATATCCCTTGCTCACAGATAGGAAAAACTGACATAGTGAAAATGATCATACTTCCAAAATTGTTATGCATATTTAATGCAATCCCAATCAAAATAGCATTAGTGTATCTCACAGAACTAGAGAAAATATTCCTAAAAGTCACTTGGAACAGAAGATATCTATAATACCAAAAGCAATTCTGGGCAACAAGGGCATGGCAGGGAGCATCGCAATCCCAGATTTAAAATTATTCTGCAAAGCTACTGTGGTACAATCAGCATGGTACTGGCAATGAAACAGACCTGAAGATCCAGAGAACAGATGAGAAAATGCAGACACAACACAAACACACTCAGCCACGTTGTCTTTGACAAAGATGCCAAACATGTTCACTGGCAGAAAAGAAAGCCTCTTTAATATCTGATGATTGAAAAACTGGATTTCCACATGCCAAAGACTAAAATTAAAAGCATGTCTATTTCCATGCATTAAAGTCAAAATGGATCAAGGAGCTAAATATTAAAACAGAAACACTAAATTTACTGGATGAGAAAACAGTAGAAACCGAACACATAGGGGGAGGCAAACAGTTCATGAACAAAACCCAGATCATACGGGAAATGCTTCAAAGAATTGACAACTGAGATCTCAAATTATTAAAAAGCTTTTGCACAACAAAAGAACACACCCAACAGAATGAAAAGACAACCAACACAGTGGGAAAAAATTTTAGCCAGTTGTCCCTCAGTCAAGGGACTTCTACCTAGAACATATAAAGAACTGGGAAAAAAACAGACTCCCCGCAAACCTAAAAGATCCAATCCAAAAATGGACATCTGAAATAAAAAGAGACTTCTCACATGAAAAAAATAGAAAAATGACAAATAAATGTACAAAAAAGTTCAGTATTATTGGTCATTCGTGAAATGCAAATTAAAACAATGCTGAGATTCCATCTCACTCCAGAAAGAACAGCTATCATCAAGAAATCAACCAATAACCAATGCTGGAAGAATGTGGGAAAAAAGGAATCCATCTCCACGGCTGGTGGGAGTGCAGACTGGTGCAACCACTGTGGAAATCAGTGTGGAGATTCCTCAAAAAACTAGGATTGGAGGTCCCGTTCAACCAGCTCTCTTCTGGAAGAAATGAAAACATCGTACTTCAGCAATATATGTGCACCTATGTTTATAGCAGCACAATTTATGGTAGCTAAATCTTTGAAACAACCCTAAAATGCCCATCAGCTGAGGAATGGATAAAAAAAATGCAGTATTTTATATAATGGAGTCCTACTCAGCCATAAGGAAGGATAAACTTGAGACTTTTGTAAGTAAATAGATGAAACTTGAGACCATAGTCATAAGTGAAATAAATCAGACTCATACTCCCTGGTGTGAGAAACTGAAAGAGTAAATAAGATTCAAAATGTATAACAGATATTTTGAAATGAGAAAAAATTGTTCAGAAAAAGGAACCAGGGTTGGGGGGAAGGGGAAAGGAAGGAAGAGAAAAGAAAAAAAAAACACAGGATACTTACACTATTAGTTTCTCTTAGTTCACTCAGAAAAAAGGTTTGTGCTACTATCATCTGGAAAATCTTTTATTCCCATATCTTATATTTTGAGTAACAATACACAATGTATTAACTATTATTCTCCTATGATTTTGTTATGAAATTTTATTTTTCCATAAAATAAAAAATAAGTAAAAAATGAGAATAAATAAAACCTTTTTTTCTTTTTGAGACAGGATCTCACTCTGCAGTTCAGGCTGACTTTGGGCACACTCTGTAACCCAAGCTGGTCTAGTACTTGTAAAACAGTCCTCTTGCCTCAGCCTCTCAAGTGCTGGGATTACAGAAATGTGCCACCAACAACCTTCTTTCTTTATAGCACTAACACCAGAAACCCCTTATTATGATGAAATGGAATAGCAGCCACTGTGTATCTACAAATTAAAACTATGATACCCAGCCTCATTCATCTGGAGAGGTCCCAGTTTATGGTAAAGGGTGTATTCTCTTTCTTGAAGACAACACAAGGATTTTCGGGAAGAAACTATTTTCTAGATTTATTCCAGTCTTTATCATCAATGGGTTAAAGAGCTCATAGCTATTCTAAAGTGACAATAATAGTGATTAAAGAAGTAAATTCTTAAATGATATTAGTTCAAAACGAAAAAAGTCTGCAAGTAAAACTAAAAATTCTTTTCTTTTTTTGGGGGGGGGAAGGGGGTACCAGTGATTGAACTTGCAACCTTGCCCTTGCCACGCAGGTGCTTATGCTGCTGAACTAAATCCCCGGCTAAAATTATTTTCTAAGATACAAAGTTTTGATCTCATTTACCAGGAAAAGATTAAAAACTGAAAAGCATTCAATTACATGTAATTAACTCTCAACACCAAAGAACAGAGAAGCAGGAAGATACACATAAACAGCACAATGTGCACCGTGTAGGTGTTCCAGCTTCCAAATCCAAAGAAACCAATCACACAAAAAAGGAGCCTTGGCAATGCCCTCTTTCCCAGAGGCTCTTGAATCACAGCATGTCCTAAATAGAAGAAAAGTTCTAAGGCCTTTACTTCTACTTTTGGCTCTACCATTTTTGATGAGAGAAACACTGGAAAAGTCATCCAATTGCTTTAGGCTTTGGTCATCTCACTTACCTTCACAAAGTGCTAAGGCTGAGGTTACAAATTACAAAGAAAAAAACCAATTTCCAATTATTTGCTGTATTATGAGTTCCAAGTACAAACCTCTTGTTGCAGCCTTTTTAGTTCTATCTCCATCTGTTCAAGTTCTTGTTTACAGTCCAATAACTGTTCAGTCTTTTCCTCCCTTAAATACAAGAATATACTTGTTAAAGAATAAGCCAACTACTTCCAAAAACCACAATCATCATTTGCAATACAAATGAATTACCCTTATTAACCAGTTGAAAAGTTAGAAATAACCCCAACCCAGAGGAGAAAAAAAAAAGTACTAGACATGTGTATGACGTCACCACACTTCCCCTTAATGTTCTTTCAAGGGTAACCCCAATGTCTATCATCCTCATAGTTTATGATGTGTTTTTTTACTCTCACTGTTTATCTTTCCTGTATCTGCTCCACCTGTCTCCTCTCTCTGTCCTTATTCGGGATGATCTAAGACAATTAAAGTGAAAATATTTTTTATGCAATGCAATTTTTATCTGGTTCTGAGATGCTAAATCTTCAAACTATTTTCACCATTTACAGGGTCCAAAAAGGAAACTGTACATTTACTACTTGTCGTAAGATACTAAAATCTTTACTTCTCTACTGGTTTCCACCCTGCTGCTTTTAAATGTCCTCAGTTTCTATATTTTTTTTCCCTATTTGAACTACTCTACTTCTCTTTTTCAATCTCCCCTTCACAGCTAGTCTCTTGAAAATAAGCTTAAACTATGTCTACTTCTCCTCTTTCTGTTAATAATAAAAAGTCATATAAACAAACACTTGCCTACGGCTCTTCATGCTTTTTTTGGAAATCCTTTTCTGTTTATTGCTTGCTTGTTAGGCCCTCACCTTGAACTCATTCTATAGTCCAGACTGGCCTTGAACTCATGGCAATCCTTTTGTCTCACCCTCCTGAACGCTGGCTGGAAACTGTAATTTTTAATTGTAGAGAACCCCCCTCCCTTTGATAGAAAAACCATACTTTATTAATTGGGTTCCATTTTTTGCTGTAATAAATCATGCCTAAGTAAAAAAAAAGAAAAAAACCACTTGTACACAAAATCATCTGTATTTAAAAATGTACGTATTCTAAAATTACAGTGTGGATTTAAAGGTACTTGGCATATGTTGTGAAACTGCTCGCCAGCAAGGTCATTATGAAACAGAAAATAAAGGTGTATATATATAAAATAATTTAATAATAAAAAATGCTTTTATTGTTCTAATTTGTATTTCTCTGAATAGTAGGAAAAGCTGAATTTGTTTTCCTATGGTTATGCTATTAATATTAAATTTTCTTATATTGTGAATTATTAGTTCACACGTAATTCCTAACTTTCTACCAGACAGTTTGATCTTCTTAGGTAAAATGCCTTCTGTGAATAAGTTATTTCTTGTAAATGTTTCTTGCTGGATGGTTGAATATTGTTTAAAAATTAGTATTTCATTGTGATAACATATACAACAAAAATTGCCTATTTGATCATTTTAGGTGTACAATTTAGTAAGATTACATTCAATGTCAAATGTCTGTTCCTTGGTTATACATGAGAATTTTTAAAAAATGTCCATAAAATGCATATACACATTCACAGAAGCATTATTCTATTAGTGTATGTTTATAACACATAATAGGAAAGTTCACTTGGAGGAATATATATATATATATATATATATATATATAAAATCTGTTATATAATATCTATTCAGTATATCTATCTATATATAATCTTGATCATTTTCTATTCTTTTACCTCCCTTTCCTATCCTCCATTGAGCTCCTTCCCCTTTCCCCAAAAGTCGGTCTGTTTCCTAGTATCTTTCATTTATATTCAGATTTCCTGTATATGACAAAATGTATTATTTTACTGTCTGACTTATTTCATTTAAAATTATGTCACTTAATACAAGCTCCATTCATTTTCCTGGAAACGACACAATTTCAATCTTTATGGCTGAGTAGTATTTGATGGAATACATATGCCACACTTTACCCATTTGTCTAATGATGGGCATTAAGGTTGTTTTCTGGGCTTAGCCACTGTGAACTGAGCTGCTATAAATATGAGTATGCATTATCACTACAGTGTATCTTTAAATTTTGGAGATATGCTGAAGAGATATAGGTGCAATTTCTGTTTTTAGTTTTAGGACTCTACATATGGATTTCCAATGGTTGTATTGGTTTATATTTCCCACAGTGTAGAAGTATTTCTCCCACATCCTCACTAGCATTTATTGGTTTTTTGCACTCTTGATTATGTTTAGATGCAATCTCAGAGTTGTTCTGACTTCGTATTTCCCTACTGGCTAAGGGAGAACAGTTTTCATCAGTGATTGGCCACTTATTAACCTTTTCTTTTTTTTGAGAAGTGTCTATTCCTTTCCACTGCCCATTTTTTGATTGGTTTTTTATTTTTGCAGTGTTCAGGTATTAGTCTTTTATCAGTAGAGTAGCTGGCAATTTTTTTCCCCTTCTGTAAGCTACCTTTTTACTATGTTGTTTCCTTTGCTGTGTAGGTTTTTAATTTGACCTAATCCCATTCTAGATATTATTTCCCGTGCTACTGGATTTCTGTTCAGAAGTCATTGCCTGTACCTAAGGCCTCAAGCATTTTCCATTTTTTTTTTTCCCAGCAGTTTCAAAGACCCTGCGCAGGCTGAGACATATGGATCTAGTTTGAATCTTCTATACATGAATAAACAGTTTTCCTAGTACCATCTGTTTAAAAGGCTATTTTTCTTCAATATATGATTTTGGTCTCTCTCAATAATCAGAGTTGAAGCCAGGCTCACGGCTGTAATCCCAACACTTGGGAGACAGGAGGATCTTTGTGAGTTCAAGACCAGCCTTTGCTACAAAGTGAGCTCAAGGTGAGCCTGAAGTGCACAGGGAGACCCTGTCTCAAAAACCACACACACACACACACACACACACACACACACACACACACAAATCAGAGTTGAAGGTACCTAGGTTTGTTTCTGTGCCTTCTGCTCTACTCTGCTGGTCTATGTACTTTTCTGCCATTAGTATGAAGTTTTTGTTACTATAGCTTTGTACTGTATTTTGAAATGTGGCACTATACTACTTTCTCCTTTTCTCTTTTTGCTAAGGATTACTTTGCTATTCTGGGTCTCTTTGGGTTCCACATCAACTTTAGAACTGTTTTTTTTTTTTCTAGTTCTGTGAATCATGTTGTTGGCTTTTTTTTTTTGTCTTTTTCCTTTTTATCAGTACCGGGGATCGAACTCACGACTGCCTGCTTGCAAGGCAGGCGCTTATGCCGCTGAGCTAAATCCCCAACCCCTATGTTGTTGGCATTTTAATAGGGATTACACTGAACTATAGCTCCTTTTGGTAATATAGCCATTTTAATGATTATTAACCCTGCCTATCAAAGAACATCTTTCCATATTCTAATGTTGTTTGATCTCTTAAAGGCTCTGTATTCTTCATTAGAGGTTTTTCACATGCTTGGTTATGTTAATTCCTGAGTATTTTTCTAAGGAACCAGAAATATACCTTTTTTCTAATTTGTTTCCTGATAGTCACTGTTACTATTAATATTTGAGTGTTGGTTTTGTAGCCTATTTTGCTGATTTATTAGCTCTTAAAGTTTTCTGGGTCTTCCAAAAGGATCATATCATCTCCAAATAGATAATTTGACTTTCTCCTTCCCCATTCATATCCCTTTTGTTTGCCAGTTTCAAGTAGTATTTGGAACAGGACTGGTGAGTAGACATCTTGTCTCCTCCCAGATTTTAGAATGATTAATTTCTCCCTGTTCAGTACGATGTGGGCTGTGGATCTGTCATATACATTGGCTGTACCAGTCTGAGGTAAACCCTTCAATGCTTACAATTTTCATCGTTTTTCAAAAAATCATAAAAGGATGTCTAATTTTGTCAAATGGCTTGTATCAGAGTTTGAGCTAGTATCATTCTGTACCTAAAAAACTCACTAATCAGGATTTTTATCATGAAAGGATGTTACATTTCTGTCAAAGGATACTGAGATAATCATCTAATTTTTACCCTTGACTCTATGCATGTGGTCTCTTGTACTGATTTGTAAGGATTGAATCATCCTTGCATCCTTGAGATGAAGCTGACTTGGTCATGATGTACACCTCTTCCAATGTTTTCTTGAATTCTGTTTACAAGCTTCTTACTAAAGATTTTTGTACCTAAGTTTATCAAGGATCCTGGCCTGCAGTTTTTGGTTTTGATGAAGCACTTACATACTTTTGGTATAAAGGTAACACTGGCTTCAAGGAATGAGTATGGAAGCATTTTTCTCTTTCAGTTACACGGAAAAGTTTAAGTGTTGGCATTTGTTATTCTCTAACATTCTAGTAATATTCAGGAATAAATCCATTGAGTACTATGCTTTTCTTGGTTGCAGTGTTTTGATTATGGCAAATTCATTGCTTGGTATTGGTATGTTCTGGGGTTTTATATCATGGTTCAATTTTTATGAGCATATATAGCTAAGAATTTATCTACTTCTTCCAGATTTTCCAATTAATTGATATTTAAGTTTTCAAAATAGTTTGTGATGAGCCTCTGGATTTCAGTAGTGTCTGCTGTGATTTTATTTTATTCATCTCTTAGGTTTATGTATGTGGACCTTCTCTCTCTTTTGGGTAAGTCTGGTTTGTCAATCTCATTTATCCTTTCAAAGAACCAACTCCAATTCTCTTGACCCTTATGTATTGTTGATTTTTTAAAAGTTTCAATTCATTGATTTCCACTCTAACCTTTGTAATGAATTTTCTCCTAATAGTTTTACGTTTTGACTGTTTGTGTTTTCCTAAGATTCTGAGGTACATCACTAAGTTATTTATTTAGGATCACTGTTCCCAATGTAGGCACTGATAGCTGTAAATTTCCACTGCTTTGTGTCCTACGGATTCTAATATGCTGTATTTCCTTATTATTAGATTCCAGGAACTTTTAAACTCCTTACCCGCAACTTTTCTATGGTCCAATGGTTGTTCTGAAATGTATTTTATTGTACATAGTGTATAGTTTCTTCTACTCTTGATTTCTAGTTTCATTCTTTTGTGAACTGTTAGGGTGGAGGTACTTCAATTTTTTACTGTTTACCTTTTTCAATTTATTTCTATTCTAGACATGCTGCATGATCTAAAATATTTTAGAGAAACTTGTGTAGGCTGAAGAAAAGAATGTGTGATTAGCTGTTGCTGGATGAAATATTCTGGAGATGTTAAACTCCTTTGTTTAATGGTGTAATTTAACTTTGATATTTGATTTTTGGGTGGTCTGGCTGACCTCGTTTTAAGAGTGAGGTATTGTAGTTCCCCACTATGATTGTGTTGACATCTGCTTATTCTTTTTATTGTGTAGTTTTGTTTTACATAACTGCATGAGCAGAAGTTTGGAACTGTAAACGTGTTATTTTACAGTTGCTATCTCTTCTTCTTGGATTGCTCTCTTTATTAATATGTAGTGACCTACTTTGTCTCTTAATCAGTTTTAGCTTGAGGTCAGCTTGTGCGAAATTAAAATACTCCTATGCCCATCTGCTTTCAGGCTTCAGCTGCTGAAGTACGGTTTTTCTACCTGTTCACCCTCGTTCTATGCATACCTAGGGATGAGGTGTGTAGTTGGCAGGTAATATTCACTTGCATCTTTGTTTTTGGCCAATGTCAGTCTCTGGACTGGAGAATTGAGACCATTTATACTATTATGGAAAAGATTTTATTGTTTCTCATCATTATACTATTTTTCTAGTGATTCTTTTCTGCTTTCTTTTTGTTTAACTGCTCTCCCAGCGACACATACTGTTTCCCTTGGTCTCGTGGATGCTGTCTTTCTTGTCTCTGTTTAAGATTCCCTTAAGTATTTTTTGCAGCACTGGTTCAGTGGTCATTACTTTCTTTATCTTTACTGTGAAAGTCTTTATTTCTCCCTTGAAAAAGGTAACTTTACAAGATATAGTAGCCTGAACTGGCAACTAGGACTTTAAAAATTTCACTCCAAGATCTCCTGGCCTTTATGATTTTATGCTGAGAAATCTGTTTCTCTACTGAGTTTGCCCCATAGATAATTTGGTGCTTTTCTCCAATAGCTTTTAATATTCTTGCTTGGTATTCTATTATGTGCTGTTGTGTCAACCTGAAGTTTCCAGATTGTATTCCGGCCAATGGCTTTAGTATTCACTATAAGCTATTCACCTGTTAAGATTCTACTGCTCTGTTTGACCTGTGCTCCTATTCTGCCAAGCCTTTGTCTGCAAGCAACTCCAGGGATCAGAGGGGCTTCTTGGTATGAGGCAGTACCCTTACTCCCATATGCTATTTTAATAGTTTTTTTCCATCTCCTAGACTCACAGGTCACAGCTATACTCTTGCTTGCCAAGTTTCTATTTTATCTAGAAACTCAGTGATTTCTGGGGGTCAGCAAGAAAGAGCCTCTACAGCACTGGACTGAAGTGTTTTTCCCATCTCCAGGGGTTGTACATCTTAGCTATGTTTCCTTTCAATCCACAAATTCAGAGGCATTTGGGGCCTGGTGGGAGGATATTCTAGCTGCTATAGAATTTATTCTATACTCCTGGATCTTGCAGGTTGTACCCACTGAAAGCCCCTGCATTTTTTACTGTCTCACCATTCCATAATACCTGGTTCTGGGTCCACAGCCAGGACCATGCATTGCTTCTTTCAGTTTCTATTCTTGTGGGGCCTATCCTAGCCACTGCCTTCTGATTGAGTCTGTAGCTTGTACTTTCCAGTGTCCTGTTCTGTGGAAGACCTCCTCAGAAAATATCGCACTGGTCGCACTATTCCTGGGGAAAAATAGCTAGGACTGGGTATCATGTGTTATCCACTAAACTCAGCTATTTCCTTCAGAAGGATTTTGGTAAATGGCAAGATCCTAGACCTGGGATGTAAGCAGGGCCTACTTGGAGAATGGCAGTGTACGCTCAGCAACTATGGGGGATTTCCTCCTGTCTTGTTTTTGAAATCCAATGTTTTGTTCTGTTTTACTGTTTTGTTTTATCCCTGTGTCTAGTGGCCTGAGGAATTACTTTGAAGAAAGCAAGGTGCAATATCACAACCATTGTTAAATTTCTATTATCTTGTTTTGACAACCCATACATAGCGCTTTTTTTTGTCATTTTGCTTTTATTGTTGTTTTTAAAGTTTACCTGTTTTTTCTTTAAAATAAGATAAAATTTTTTTTTCCATTTTCTTTTTGTTTTTATCAGTACTAGAGATCGAACTCACGACTGCCTGCTTGCAAGGCAGGCGCTTATGCCGCTGAGCTAAATCCCCAGCAAAATAAGATAAAAATTTTAAAACAATATAAAAACTAATGAAAGAATAAATTTTCAAGGGATAGTATTTGATTAGTGCTAGTTACAGAGAATACAGAACTTTCTATATTGGGCATATGAATTTATACATTAAAAATATCCACTTATATTTTTCAATCAGTACATCTGAAACCAAATTTTGTCAATCCTTTGTTGTCTGGAATTTTAATATACTCCATGGTCAAGTAAATTTTATTTAAAAATTAAATTCTAATATAGTGCAAAGTGTTAAACAAATTCATAGCCATCACTGCCATTCTAATTGCACACTTTATCTAAAGAGTGGAGAAGATTGTGCTAAATTATATGGAACAAACTAGTGCTCACTGTTTAGGCTATCCATTAACTGTCAGTCAAACTAATAACAGCAATCTCTTCCCTAATTTTCCTGGTGCAGCTGTTTCTAGAATATCCTGGGCGTGTTCACTTCAATAGATGGATAATAATGCAGACATCCACAAATGAAAGCTCTATTTTTTATTTTCAAGTTTTCCTATAGACTATATTTTTTCTATCTTGCATATTCAAATCACTTTAATTGCTTTAAATAATCAGTAGATAAACTTAATAGTTATATTGTGGTCTTAAATTTAAAATCTGCATTCTGAAGCTGAAATATCAGGAAAACAAACCAAAAAAGAAAAGCAAAAAATCCCTGAAACAAAAATCCTTTGTGTTTTCTAAAGTACAAAATAGAAAAATCTCCAGCAGAGATTGGTCATGTCATGTCTTATGGTTAACCAAAGACTGTCCATGTGATAATTACACTGACTATAGTGATCCTAGAAAGCTGACTGTATTAGTACTAACCAAATCTGAATTTTTATTTCTACTAAGTAGATGACAAGAGCATTTCAATTACTTGATGCAGAACACAAAAATTATTTTGTAATATTACATGTCAATTTAAAAAGAACTGTTATTCATACCAGTCATACCTACTATTTTAGATTTCAGGACTATAAAAATAAAACAGGAGCACCCTCTCACCCTCAATTTGCCAAAGGGTACCATTTTTAAAAAGAAAGATCATTTAACAGTGTAGGTATAGGGACATAAACCCAGGAAAGGGCTAGATGTGGTAGCACACATCTATAATCCCAGCACTCTAGAGGCTGAGGCAGGTGCATCACTACAAATTTGAGGCCAGCCTAGATTACATATTGAGTTTAAGGCCATCCTAAACTACACAGTGAGATCCTTCCTCAAAAAGAACAACAAAATGGAAATACATATTTCCAGAATAAAGGATATACTTTAAATTGGTAAGATTTAACATTAGGAAAACCATATGCCAGACTCATTTTTTAAATTTTGACAAATACTAGTGAAAACCCCGATACAGACTAGCAATGAAGGATCACTAATCTATATTGCATCAGCCTAAAAATATTCTTTAGGTCATCTTTGTGACCATGCAACTTAACTGAACCTTGTAAATCAGCAACTTACAGTTCCTGCCTAAGACGTCTTATCTTGGCCTTAGCATCTGCCAGTTCCACTGACAGATGCTGTCGACTTTCTGTTCGCTTCATGCCTGGAGAACCACAGGGTGATTGTGCAGATGAAGAAGCGTGGGGTAGAAAATGAAGACCATCTCGCTCTTCAGAGAGCTCTACAATAGTCTACAAATTACAGAAATAAACACAAAATCATTTTTAGTATTCCGTATATCAGCAAATTAACATTTCAACACTTCACTAGAACTAATTATTGCACTACAATACAAAAATGAATTTGGTAGTCAAAAACATCTTAATTTTGTCATATTTAGATGTTTTCAACTTCAACAATTAATGCATGCACTACTTAGAATAATACTTACAATTTTTTAAACAAAGGAAACCAATTGTGATAAAATAACTAGCTAGCAACTGTTGGACAGGTACAGAAAACTTGGTAGAGTAGGATATTTGTGAGTGTACTCCAATGAGGTAGCCACATTTCAAGCATTAGCCACATATGGTTACTGTACTACAGGGTCCTGATATACAGTCCTGCCACCACTGAAGAATTGGACAACATTGTTCTAGGATTATAAAACTCTAGAGGGACCAATCTAAAGGAACAATAATAAAGTATTACATTTTTAGTTAACTTCTTTGTAGTTAAGAGGCATAAAGACGGACCTGCTCTGATAACTTGTAGATAACAACAATGCAAGGTCCTACACCTCACTTTCCCTGGTAGATGTGGTGTAAGTTCTGAATACTTCTGTCTCATGGCTTCCTTTATTCTCTCTCCAGAGGCCCCACCAGGTATACATGTCCTTCTTCCTAAGTTTGAACTTGAAGAGCTTTTGGTCCTTGTTTTGCTTTTGAAACAAAATCTTGCTATGTAGTTCAGGCTGGCCTAAATTCCTTGGCAGTCCTCCTGCCTCAGCCCCTGCAGAGTGTGCACCACCACGCCCAGCTTGAAGAGCTCTTTAATCCATATCTAGCTTATATAATCACTTACCTAATTCTTGTTCTCTATTAGTGAATTCTCTTATTCTAAACTAATTTCTCAGCTTGCCTTTCAAGATTGGTAAGCAATGTGCAACAAAGGCAAGGCAAAGGCATCACAATTCCTGACTTAAAATTATACTCTAAATCTACTGTGACAAAATCAGCATGGTACTGACAAAAAAAATAGATCAATGGAACAGACGAGAAAATGCAGAAATAATTCCAAACACACTTAGCCACCTTAGTTTTGACAAAGGGGCCAAACATGCTCACTGGAAGAAAGATCAGCTCTTTAATAAATAGCATTGGGAAAACTGGCTTTCTATGTGCCAGGACTAAGACTAGACACACGTCTACCAGCCATGCACTAAAGTAAAGTAAAAATGGATCAAAGATCTAAATATTAAAACAGAAACAATAAACCTATAAGACCAGGGAAGTAAGAAGCTTCAAGACATAAACAGGGGTAGGTAGAGTTCTTGAACAAAACCCAAAATACACAGGAAGTACTACAAAGAATCAACAACTGGGATTCCATCCTACTAAAAAGTTTTTCTACTGGGGATTTAGCTCAGCGGCAAAAGCGCCTGCCTTGCAAGTGTGCAGTTCTGAGTTTGATCCCTGGTACATTAAAAAAAAAAAAAAAAAAAAAGGTTTTTCCATTTTAAAAGAAATCACCAACAGAGTGAAAAGAAACCCACAGAATGGGAAAAGATTTTAGTCAACTATCTCTCCAACAAAGGACTTCTATAATTCAAACACCCAATTCTAAAATGGGCATCTGAGATGAAGATGTACTTCTAAGAAGAAATAAAAGTGACAAATAAATATATGAAAAATGTTCAACATCATTGGTCATTCAAGAAATACAAATTAAAACAACACTGAGATATCATCTCACTCCAGAACAAATGGCTGTCATCAAGGAATTAACCAGTAACAAATGCTGGAGGGGCTGTGGAGAAAAAGGGACCCTTCTGCACTGTTTGTGGGAGTGTAGACTGGTGCAACCACTGTGGAAATCAGTGTGGAGATTCCTCAAATAACTAGGATGGAGGTCCCATTCAATCCAACTATCCCCCTTTGGGTATTTTACCAGAAGAACTGAATACAAGATATACCACAGCAATACATGTGTGCCATTTTTATAGCAGCATAATTTGTAATAGTTAAATCTTGAAAACAACCCAAATGTCCAACAACCGTGGAATGGATAAAAAAGATGTGGTCTTTTTATACAATGGAGTACTACTCAGTTGTAAACAAGTATAAACTCTAGCTTTTACAGGAAAACAGATACAACTGGAGAACACACTTGTAAGTGAAGTAAGTCAGACTGGCATGTGTGAACAGTGTATTGTCTCCCTAGTATACAAAACTGAAAGAGTATGTAAGATCCAAAATGTATAACAGATACTGTGAGAGTAAGAGGGGAGGAAACTGCTCAGGAGGAACAACAACCGGGATGGGGGAAAGGAGAAAGAAAGAGGGCAAATTTTAAAATATATATATATATATATATATTTAAATTTTTAAATATTTTTAAATATATATATTTATATATAAATATATATATTTATATATTGTATATATGCAAGTTAGATAATTATATTACTAATCTTTGTTGATTCATCAAAAAGAACAATTTGTGCTTTCATTGTCTGATCATTTTTTATACCTATATCTGATAATCTGAACTATTTTGAAGATATTACACAATTAACCACTGTTAATCTGTTTTGAAATTCTGTATCACTTCTTTTTTCATTTTAAAATTAAAAAAGATTAGTAGGCAAATAGAAATGATCTTCTAAGGTAATTTCAACTGTTCTATTAGTGGGGTTGCTACTTAGAACTATGAAGTCACCATCCTTATTTCGCATCAACAAGTCTACCAACCCTCACTGAATCGTGACTGCTGGGATACATTTCAGCACCTTTATCCAAGTCCGTCTCGCCTTCTTGCCAGCAACTACTGCTTTCAAAGATCTCAACATGCATATCACTAAACTTCAAGCAAATCTGCAACTTCTCATTTCTCTACAACTCCATGTCCATTCTCCCCATTCAATATATGCAGGCTTTTTCAGTAAAGGAGTCAATTCTTCTGTATTACACCTCCTTTACTACTCCTACATCATCAAACCTACGCTTTATTCTTTTATCACTGAACTCCTGCCCTCTTGTCTAAGAAAACTATTTCTAGCTACTTCTAGTCAGTGGATCACTTACACACACACACACACACACACACACACACACACACACACAATTTCTACCTTGAAGACTGGGAGACATCATCTAGTAATATACAACAGGTATGTGTATTTCACACATGAAGAAACTTAGGCTAATATAGGAAAACAAAATCACACAATCAGTGATTGGTACAGCAGGAATTAAAATTCAAGTTTCACTTTAACATTATTTTCCTTATCTAATGCCAGTCTTCTCTATTCTTGTACTAAGGTAATAGAGCGTCTAAAGAAAAAAAATTGTACAGCCCTATACAGGATCTTGCCATCTGTTTCTAATGAAGTTCTTCACACCTATCAATCCTTTTACTGAAATTTGATTTGTTTCCTAGCAAATTCCTCTACAAAAAGTTCTATAATTTTAATTCTCTTACCCCTTACTTAAACCTCTAATTTCTAGCTACCTTCATCATTTCCAAAAAATGATTGGTTCCCTAATTTATCCAACAAACAAAATCAACTGGCTTCTAGGCATGGTGGCGCATAACTGTAATTCCAGTACTTGGGAGGCTGAGGCAGGAGAACTGCTCCAAGTTTGAGGACAGCCTGGGCAACATAGTGAGTCTAAGGCTAGCCTGAGCTACATAGCAAGACCCTGTCACCAAAAAACCAACCAACCAACCAACCAATCAAACAAACAAACAAAATCACAGGATAACTGCCTCTGTTCTTAGACCTTTTTTTGTGCCTAACATATTCCCAACTGAAATATTTTCAGTTTTTTTCTTCCTACTAGCTTATTTTTCTTTGTTCTTCAAATATATACATACAAATATTTTCTACCCAGTAAAAAACAGAACAAAACCCACCATATTCTTTTCTTGTAGTTTCTTTGTTCACTGACACTACTTTATCCCACAAACTTAACATAGTGTGCCCATCCCACTTCCTGTATCAGTGGATAATGCTATTTATCTCCATAGTGGCTCAGGTTTCACCTCCTTGTATTTAATTGTTATGTTAGTATTTCCTCACCATCTCAATTACCTTTAACTTACACACCAACATTTCCTGATTTTAACAAGAGTACCTAGTGGTATATAAAAGATATTTGATCCTTGCACAAATAAAAGTCCACCTAACTATACCAAAGGTTCATACTTTCACTTACAAATAATGTAGTTTTTCTTAATGAACTACAATCTCACACCTCCTTTTCACTTTTCATTCTTTTATATTATCTAGCATCATACTGAGCACAAAAAGAGGTGCTCAAAATATTCAGGTAAGCAACTAACAAGTCAGAGAATGCAGGAAAATTACAAAAGATAAATATAACATTTGAACTTAAATGGTGATAACACAGATATCAAAATCTTCTTGATGTCAGTGAACAGAGCAAAAAAGAACTACACACTGCAAAAATAAAAATTTTAAAAAAGAAAAAACCTTGGGGCTGGGGATTTAGCTCAGTGGCATGAGCACCTGCCTTGCAAGTGCGCAGTTGTGAATTCAATCCCTGATACCAAACAAAAGAAAAAAGAAAAACCTGTGGGAAGCCGCCTATGATGGCGCCCATTTCCTGCTTCCGGGTTCTTCCCGGCCTGAACAAGCCCGCCAAATTGTCATGTCTGCCCAGTTACCCGTGACGCTAGCCTATCAGCTTGTTAGACGCGCTTCTCTGTGATTGGATACTGCTTCCCTTTATAAGAGGTTGTTCCTGCCCCCAATGGGCGGAAGAGGAACCAACACTGAGGGTGGCGGACCTTGTTAGATCCGGTTCGCTGTACGCAATAAAGTTTGAGAGCTGATCCTGCTCGAGTTTGGCCTCCTGTCTTCCGCGGCTCCGGTCATCTGGTGGCCCGTACGGGAAAAAGATAAAAGACTCAGCGACGTGCCTCTTTGGCCGGGAGGTGCGATTGCTGTCGCCTGCGGTACGACGGAGGACCTGGCCCAATAACAACGGAAGGCCGCGAGCACCTC